GAAATGAGGACTGGTTTGTTTCTGTTCTTAAATCCTACCCAAAGAGCCGTTTGCAGTCGGTCCTTTTGGACACAGCAAAGCCTTGGGGTTATCCTGTGCTTAGGGTTACGTTTGCTCGGCCGGCACGGTGCGACCCAGCCTGACGTTTGGTGCCCCATGCCAGCGGAGGAGCAAGGCTCTCCCAAGCCTTTCTGCAGGATGGTCACCAGCTGCTGAGTGGGGCTGGGGGCATGCAGGAGCCTGGAGCTGCTGCTTCCAGCCCACGCGCCTCTGCCTCTTTTGCTTGGACTTTGCAGCCTGGGTCAATGATAATTTGAGCATCTCTTTGCTGTGCTCCATGGTGGGCTGTGGAAATGGCCTTGGCTTCTCCCCTTGGTTCCCTCACACCTCCTATTTTTGCTTTCTCCAGACAGAGCACCATGTAGATGTGCTTTCACAGGGACCGTTGTTGTCTGTTGCTGTCTCCATTCCAATATAGCATTTCCAAGATGGTAATTTCCTGCCTCTTTTACAGCAAATTCCCCCACTGGGAATGACATGGACTCTTACTGGGGAGCTCTTTAGGGACACCAGCCTTCAAGGAGATCATCAGAGGTGCCATATAATCTTACCACTGTGATGGGTCCCCTTTTCCTTCATCAGCTCTTTGGCAGAGGGGGGTCCCCACTGGGTTATACAGCAGTTTTTTGCTTGGGAGGGAGAGCAGACAGCCTCACTCCATCCCCCTGCAGCACCACAGGGAGAACTTCCTAAAAACATCACAGGGGTATTTTTAGAGGGACCTAGAGGCTGAATCTGCACAGCAAGTGTGAAGTGGGCAAGCTCAGGAGAAACGGAGCCTTGCACTCCGATGAGCAGCCAGGTACTTGCACAGGAACTTTTCATCCTTCTTACACAAGGAACCAGTGCCCAACTTCTGTACGTGGCTTGCACCACCTCCTTGCCCTTGTATTTCATAGACTCGAGCCTGAGTAGTTTGCACTGATCCTGCAAAGCTGGTGAAGGTTTATGCCATCCCACGAACACTGGGCACCTTTCAGGTGATGTAGAGCCTGCTGTTTTACTACAAAAAGCCTACTGTATGGGGGGGGGTGGCTTTCATGGTGACTGTAATACAAGGCCCTGCTGCCTCCTGTCGTGACATCTACTGTGAGAACTCAGCCTGGCGGGGCATCTTGCATAGGTGTGCATATACAAAGGTGAATTTGGGCAGCGGGGTTTTCACGCTGCTTTTCAGAGCTTTCCAGCAGGACGAAGAGTTGCAAAGCGCGTGGCGAGCTTGTAGTGAACGTATCGCCTGCGCAGGGCTAGGGAATAGGAAAAGAGAGCTGGCTGGGCAGTGAAATCCTTGATTAATGCAGTATGTTCAGCATCTGAGAGGATTGCTGGGCCCTGTCTCACAGCTTCAGCCAGATAAAGGCATTGACTTCTAATTAATTTGATTTTTGCTTTTAAACTGGTAGTTCTGGTGTGCGCCGTTTGCTGACAACAGCCTTTTGTCAGATGGGGGAAGGAACGCTCAGCTGTGCCTCAGCCAGCAAAACTGTGAATCCACTTTGCTTTTACCACCATCGTTCTTTCCAGCATGGCTTTACCAACATCTGAAAAATGGCTTTTCCTCTCTCTGAATGCATAATTGGTTATTTATACACAAACCGTAGAGCATTTACTTGGTTTACCTGACCTAGAAAAAAAAAAAAAAGATTAGTCAAGAACTATCCTACCAGATGTGAGTGTCAGTCAACATGTGATCTCCATATAATTTATAAGGTATTAAATTACAAAATAATGAATCTTTTCAGTTAGCGTTTTGGCACATGATGATAGTATTACATTTTATGTGAGAATATCGACCGCAGCTCTTGCCCCATAAAACTGCAAACAGAAATTTGTAAGCATTGGCACTAGTTTCCCTTAGAAAAAGACACCCATTATGCTCGGATTACAGTTAAGCTATGTATGGACAGCCTGGAGGTTGTCCAGTTGCACGCGGTTCTTTCCCCCCCTCTTTTAACATTTCCTTAAGAAGGCA